CTTACGACAGGGAGCAAACCAGGTACAAGCGTTATTTAACCGTATATTCGTCTCCTTTCTGTTGCAGATTATTTCCTTCATAATGAACGTATTGGGCCTTAAATAAACATTAAAAAAAACATTGTTATATATAAAGTATACATAAAAAGCAACATAAATATATATACAGAAGAAATATATATATATATATAAATATAAAGTATAAATATATACATATATATATATAGTGTGGATGCGTATGTGTATACACGCGCACACGATATACGTCTCGGAGAAAACAGAGGTGTATACACATACGCGTGTCGTTATAAGATTATATTATATAGATCGAGAGAAAAAAAATCGCGAACGCGCGCGTGCGAAGGGAACGAGAGCGAGAGGCGTGAGAATGTGCGTGTGTGAGCGAAAACGATGAGCGCGAGTGTGTGAGTGCTGATTGGCGAGAGATATCGGTTGTTACGATACATACATAAAGTATATATTGTATTAACTAAAAAAAAAATAGTGGAGGGTGGAGAGGGGGGAGAGGAGAACGGTGATTAACCGAGTCTCGCCGGGACGATCCGAGGATGACGTGATAATACTATAATCGAGGACTGATGTTTCATGGGAAGTGAATCTCGGTTGGGCCGCTCGTGCGACATAGAGAGACCGATATTATTGCACCGTCAAACATGAGAATACGATGGACGGGCGAACTCAGCGAATAGCATCGACGAAGAGTAGAGCTTATATTGCAGAGGACGAGGAACCGTGAAACCGCGCCGGAGTTAAGTGTTAATTAAACACGATAATGACGACGGGGATGTCTCCATCCTTAGAGTTTTCTCCGCGAACATTCACTCGATTCATCTTTCCATTCTGCCTTGCCCCTGTTAATTACCGCACCTGTATATCGATCGTTAATGATGTAATTATTAGTGATAAAGAATATGTGATGATAATACGGGGTTGATAAATGCTAGGAAATTAAGAAGTTTAACGGAGATTGTTATAAGTAAAAAGGAGAGAAACTTAGAAACAGATTAAAATGGAAAGAATAAAAGTCTAAGGCTAGTTACGGACTGGAAATATTGAAATAGGAAAATAACGGAAATTGAAGAGCTAATGTATCGATCGTCGTTATTGTGAATCGACATGTACATACGAATAACTGTGAAACAATTGGAGCTTCTTTTACTTCTCGCGCAGCTTGCAAAGGACCGGTTTGTTCGCTAAATGTTCAAATGTTGATTAAGCAAAGATATAAGTATGTAGCGAATACGTATTATGGCATATTCTATTTAAAGATACGACGTGGAGTTTGCCCTTTTTAATCAGATTGTCATATTAACACGTATTATATTATCCATTCGGTAGGCGAAATTTTGTTCAACTTATTAGTAAGAATATTTGGCGAATAAACGTTTCTTTCTACGTAAAATGGACTTAAACGCAAAACATCGGCTGCGGTTACGCGTTCTGTCGCCACCGCGAGTTCGAGTAGTGATTCGAGTATAGTTCTGAGCTACTTTATAGCATAAATACACATATAAATAAATAAATAAATAAATATATGAATATATAAATAAATAATTATATATAAACATTATATATATAAATATATATATGAGAGTATATTTCGGTGGAACAACCGAGATTCGACGGTCCTCGTACGATTGATGAGAGTAACGGGCGTTATGGATAGTGATTTCGTCCACGGATCAACTCGGCCAGATCTCACGGATAACGGTGACACGTAACACGCTCACGAATCCATACATATACATACATACATACTTATATACGTACACACATACGTACACACGCAGAGACAGACCGAGAAAAAAGAAAGGTAGTGAAAGAAAGAGAGAGAGAGAGAGAGAGAGAGAGAGAGAGAGAGAGAGAATGAAAGTGAGAGCGAGAGAGAAAAACGTTATACGAATCGATATGCGCGGATGCGACTTTCACGAATGCAGGCGTAAATAGAGCTAACCGACTGCATTATGCGCGCGCATTAAAAACATTTTTGGTACTATACGGCACTTGTATGACGCGTCTCTCTTTATACGTAAACCCGTACTTCTTATGGATAAAAAAAAAGATGAAAAAAAATATGACACAATAGCCCGTTGTCGCGCGCTGAGATACCCTCACGAGGCGTTTACATTATATACGCACCGTCACCGGCTTTCCTCGCTATCGTCGATCGTTGATCGAAGATCAAGATGAAGATCGAGATATGGATTTTATTAAACGGCTCACCGTTGTTCGTCGACACTTTCGCGACCGCTCGCATATTTTTAAATGAAAATTACGTCGTTTGGTGCCGGACCGATTAAAAAGTATTCGTACGCCTTCGTGTTGTTGCTAAGTATAAAATTATGTTGCTAAGTGGCAAGCTGGAATATAAAAAAGGTATTCGTACGCCATTACTTTTTTGCTATAAATAACATTACGTCGTTGAGGAGCAGGTTGAAATAATAAAAATATTTGTATACGCTATATTGTACTTTTATTATAAGTATCTTTAACTCTCGTTGTATGTAATGCAATATTAAATCCTTTAAAAAGTTGTATGGATGGTAATATCGATTTAGAGAATAATATGGGATACGTATGTGGAATTACATTTCTTTAATTTGAAAGTTACTTGTAGCGATGACGTGCGAATACTAGTTGTTTCATTCTTATTTTTAATGAATTTCTTTAAAATAAACTATATAAATATTGCAGCTACTTATGTAAACCCTAAACGGTATAAGCGGGGTCTGACAGACCGTTTTTAATTACCAGACGTTATAGAAATTTTATAACGCTCTATTATTATTATTATTATTATTATTATTTGTATTTATAAAGTTTAATATAAATGAATAAAATCTAATTTCCACACGTAAATATTTCGGACATGTTTTATTTTTATATAGATATATAATTATGCATATAATTACTATTTATGCAACATCTCCTTTGTATGTCGACCCCTTTATATTACGTAAGTAAAATAATTTATACTGTTTAGGGTATTTATTTATAACTCATTATCATATTCTTCTCAAAAGCTAAAAATACGAAATAATGCTAAAAAGCATAATGCTCGAAATTATAAAGATTTTTTACAGGCGAACATTTAATTTGTACATTTATATCGAGTAGCATAATTTTACATTAAAAAGCATAATATAAATACAATTGCGAATTTTAATAAGTTAAATATATCGATATTAAAGTTATATTAATTTACAGTTAAAAAATAGTGGTCGCGAAAGTGTTAAGAGTGTATTGTTATTAGCCTTACATGTATATACATATATAGAGTTCGATTTTTATTGCGTATTTATATATTTTTATTCTTTCGATATTAGATAACATGAGTATTAATTCCTCGCGTTGGAACAATTATTCAATCTTAAATGACAACTTAAATGACAATTTATACAGTGACTTCATAATTGTTAAATGGATTTTTAGTAATTTGTTAATGTTAAAGCGAATTTTACATACAAGCATCTGATAATATTTAATATAATAATATTTATGATAATATGACATTAGAATTGCTCATCAATACGATAACTTAATAGAATATCGATATTTCATTCATCTGTTAAACTTTACAAACAGTAGAAAATGTTAATTTTTAAGATTTAACTTTTTAATGCTTGAAATATATATCTCGATTTTATCAGATGAGTGCTTAATAATTTTTTCTTTTTTAAAATTTTTTGAATTTCTAAATCAGTTTAATCTTTAAATTCTTGAGTAGTTGAGTCTTTTGAATATAATTTAATCTCTTAAATACTTTATAATTTTTCAATTTTTGTTATATGTCCATTTCTTGTATTTTCAAATTGTCTAAAAAATTGTTAAATTTCAAAATCATTGCCAGAGCAGCAAAGAATGAATGAATAAATTGCTTTTGCTTTCAACTGGCTGATAACTTTATCATACTTAAGATTTAAAATTATCGTAAAACTTTTAATACGAGTGAGCATGATTGTTTTTTTTATTCTCTTCGAGAATATCTTTGTTATAAAAATAAAATATTTTAAAATAGTTTTAAGATAAAATAAAATCAGAATTGCGCAATCCTAATTGTACGATAAGTAGTCGAGTAAGAAATACCTTTCGGATGCATATTCTAGGACAATTTTATTCTATATATAAACTTTTTGTTTACTGTCTAAAAAAATGTGACAAATATATGTATATATATATCTACATCTTTACATTTTTGTGTCCATAATTGCTAAAATTATATTAATAACATTGATTTAAAATTGTATGAAAAAATATTAAACCTATTTTTCTAAATTTGTCATTGAAGATGAAGCCATTAGATATCATAAAAATCATTTAGATATCATAAAAAAAAGATAGCTTTATTCATTTACATCTTTTTTTAAACGTTTAATGAATTAATGATAATACTTAAAAACAAGAATATAAATTCATCCTTTTATCAAATATTAAGCTTACTTTATAAAATCAGCTTCATAATAATCTCCACATTAAATATATTTACCGTTATTTATATAAATCTATTTTGTTTATTTAAAAAAATACAGAATTACAGTTTGATTTATACAACTTTATGTATTAGATACGATAAAATTAATCGTAAACGTTCTTAATGAATCAATCTGGTTACCATTGTCGAAATTACTTAATAAAAAAGATTAATTATTTCTCTATTAACGAAATTAGAATAAGCTCGTAAACAGCATGCAAACAAAAGTTTCAATATGCATCCGAAAGAACCGAACGCAATCGAGAAGGGATCGACGAGAGCGACGGCAAATCTGTCACGGTGCGCCGACTGACACGCTTTCGGACGGTTGCATATACTTATAGCGAAAAATTAAGAGAAATGCATATTATTCTGCCGATTAACGAGTAAGTGCGTAGGATTCGTTTAATTGTAGATCGAACACGTACACAGTCACGTTACGCGCGAGTGCAAAATGCATACCATCTACGACCCTTCTTCGCTCACATCTCTATCCCCTTTACTCGAGAACAACACGCATATACATGTACACATCCACAGAAACAGACACATATGCGAACATATATATACACACACACACACACACACACACATACACACATATATGTATATATATGTGTGTGTGTATGTGTTGACAAGTTTAATCGAAATGTGAAATTTTTAGTCGTTTATAGTTTGCCTAAATTAAAATTAAAAAATTGAAATATAATAATTTAAATACCTCAGACACATAATACACACATATTATACACACACGCATACAATAAGGCGCAACACGTACACGCGCACGCACGTTGCAATTAGACGTTATTATCGCAATTTGGAGTTAAATTTTATAATATATAATATATAAAAAATATATATAATAAATATATATATATAAAAGTTGACGGATAATATAGAGTTATGTTAAATATCTAAACGAAGGTATTCATGTGTTTCTTATGTGTGAATACATTATCCCTTTTGTTGCGCAATCACAATCGCGAGGTTTCCTTTTTCTCTCGTATCCCTAAAGTATAGCTTAAATGAATACGATATTTGCACATTATAACGTTCTCATTGTAGGGATCTTTTAATTTTTATTATATTATAACAATGAACTATTTTACTCATGTACATCTTAATAAATATAAATCAAGATTTTAACAAGATGTGATTAACGTATTAAAATCATATATATTTAATCTTATAAATATTTTAAATTTATTTTTAATTAAGATTTATTTATGATAGCGTTATAATATTGCTCAAGTACTTTCTTTGTTTTTATATTATACCAGTGAATAGATGAACTTTAGACATCATTTTTATTGTAAAATTTAATAACTGCCTTTTTCGTGTTCAATATGTTTAAGAAATATAGAATATTTGATGACTTTAAAAAATTTATTTGTTATCTTTAATTAAAAATAATTTAAAAAGAATTTTACATCTTTTTTATTGTCATCAGAATTAAAATATTATAGTATTAAAAAATTATTTTTACTTTATCTAGTAGCTGTTATACCTAATATTGATATGTATATGAACATTTATAGTTTTATTCTTTTAATAATTTAAGATATAATAATAATTTATAATTATTATCATTTGATTTGACAACGGTATTATTTTTTAATAATTTAAAAATAAATTTAAATATAACAATAACATAGATCTGCGAGATTTGGTCCATTGGGATGTAGGAGTGATTTTCGATATAACTTTTTGCGCTGCGAATCTGAATCTGGCCACAGAATTTGTCTAGCATGTCAGAATTTTGAGATATTCCAACCTAAATATGCAAAAAGGCTTTCTTGAGATCTTCAGATAATTTTGAAACGTGAGGATATGTTAATTTGATTCGGATTATAAATTCGGATTTAGCGCACAAAATTATGTCGGAAACCACTTTTACATCTCAATGGACTTTCCAGTCTCATTTTCACAAGTCTGTGTGATAATAAGTGTAAATTTAATTAACTTACATATATTATCAAAAAGGAGCAAATTTTTCCAATCTAAAAAAAAATACAAAATATGTATAATCAATATTTAAATATTATTCTCATATGTTTCATTTTCATTAAATTTAATTCAACATATTGGATTTTTTATTTATATATATATGAACAATTTTATTCAAAAATTCTTTTAATACAGTTTTTTCAAAAGCACATTTTCAAAGGAAATTTAAAATTTTTTTGTACGATACTATCGAGAGAAAATGGCGAAGTCTTCGATAAATCGATACCTGTAGTAATCTGCAGTAATCTGCACTCTGTCTGTAGCAAGGAACTGTCATCGATTAAATGGACGGGAAAATGAGTTCTAACAATTCTTCTACTTATCGCCGCGCCAAGTAAGTTTAATAATAATCAAAATATAACATTACATAATCTTCTTACTATAATTTTAATATCTAATAAAGGTTGCTTTATGTTATAATATGCCAAAGTCACGTATTTTGAGGTTAGGTTGATAAGGTTAAGTCTATTTCTAATCTGATTGTACATATTTACAATAATATATATAAATATATCTGAGTTATAATCAATGTTTATGCGATAAAATTTAATATCTTTTAACATATTTCGACTGCTTTGATTTATAATAATTAATAGAGTAGAAAACAATTATTAGATATTCCCATGATATCTTTTTGAATAAATTGTATATTATGTTTATAATACTATTTGTATAGCTTAAAAATTGCACCTGGTGCAGTAGTGTGCGAGGAGAGTATTCTAAAAGGAGATATTTCTATTGGTGCAAAAACTATAATCCATCCTAGAGCATGTATTCTAGCAGAGGCTGGTCCAATCATTATAGGAGAAGGCAATATAATTGAAGAGATGGCAACTATAACCAACAGGCAAGCTTAATATATTTGTATCATTTGCAATATATGCAGTGGCATTAGTTACTAATTTAACTCTACAGATTGCCACCTGATACTCCAGAACCTGTAACTGTACCAGTGCAAATAATAGGAAACTATAATGTATTTGAAACTGATTGTGTTTGTGAATCATATAAAGTTGGCGATAACAATATCTTAGAAGCAAAAGGTACATAGTTGTAGCAATTACTTTTCAATATATGCACAAATGTGATTGTAGTATTAAATCTCACATATAAGATTTATTTTATATCAAATTAAAAAATAAGAATCGTTAAAAATAATATAATGCCATTATTAATTATTTATAAATCTGTTTATAATTCACTTATTATATATAAATATTATTTTGCCAAAAAGCTCAAGTTAGTCGAGAAATTGAATTAACTAACGGATGTGTTATTGGAGCTGCATGTTCTTTGACAGAACAAGAAACAATACCAGAAAATACAATAGTATATGGAAACCAATGTCAACGTAGAGAAATGAATGACAAGCCATATGTAATTATTATATATTATTACTTTTATGCTGTTATTTCAAAATTCTAAATATGATTTTTCTACTTTATTGTAATTTATTTCAGCCACAAATTGGACAGTTGGATTTTCTACTGAAAGTACTCCCAAATTATCACCACTTTCGCAAATCGAATGTAAAATCAAAACCTGGAGGACCTATGTGAATGATGTATACTGACATTCTTGTAGTAGTAATAAGGTATATTTAATTTTTATACTAATTGTATCATTTATATTTATTTAAAAAATCGTGTTTACAATTATTCAACAATGAGATATATATATATATATTTTTTTTTTCTTTTTATATTGTATTGGAATATGAACATGTTAATGAATTATGGAGAAAATTATTCCATATTGTAACAGATGCATACGATCAATTAATTTAACAAATTGCTAATTTATTTTTAATATGAAAATAAAAGAAATAAAAAATTAATAGACGAAAATATTGTTCCAAATTTACTTTGAATATTTGTAATGTTCCGTGCAATTGAAAAATCGAAAGCAATTTAATGGTGAACTCCGTGGTTTTAATATGTAAAAATAAAAATAAATGAGAGTCATATGTATGTATACATTTAACTTAAATCGAACGAAATAGCGCAAGTCAAAATTTATTTTTATGTTTTAATCTTAAAAAGTAAATCTAAATAACAAATAATAAAACTATAATTCTTTTTTAGATTAAATATACTTTTAGATTAAAACCAAGATAGCACAGTCTAATATTTATTAGTAAAATAAGTTATGAAATGGGGATCTTCATATATGATTTTGTACTTATAAAAGATTTCGTTGAAATCATAATTTTGACCGTAATTAAATACCAATTTACCTAGAAGAGCTTTTTTACTTTAAGCTTACACAACAAAAAATTATATCAAATTAAAATTCTTTTTATTTTATTTTAAAATAAAATTAAAAATATTTTATTGTTATAATTTTTTTAAATTGATATTTTATAATAAGCAATATATTTTTTAATTCTGTAAACCCATGACTTTGTCCTAAATATATTCTTTGCGTTATACAGGAATTTATTATATTACATTATAACACACTTAATTATTAAAGTTAATAAATATTGTTAGGTATTAATAACAATTGAATTTGCTTTGATTGAAGTTTTTCAATTTCCTATTATGAACAAAAAGATTGATTTATCAAAAAAAGTGGAAGGAGCCCTCGTCACTTTCTCAACGAGCGGAAATACGAATAGAAATATTAGCCACTCTGTCTCTTAACCAACTCTCCGGAGAATTTAACGGCGTAATGCTAAACGCTACATCTATGAATATGAATTAGCGTCTCGTCGAGGGGGTTGGTTGCGAACCATTTACCGCTTCCGTCAGCTTAGCGAAGCGCGCCAGTGATTATCAACCCTCCTTCATATTTGAATTTATACAGGAAAATAACATATTTTGTATCATGACTCACAATAAATAATCAATTTGAAATTATGTTTTCATAAATAATCTATTCTTTTAATATATGCACATTAAATATAAATCTGAACGATCTTTTCAACTTTTTATTATATATACTTTCAAGATTAAAAAAAAAAAGTTTTATGATTATAAATGCTATTCTACAATAATAAATTATTTAAGATAAAAACATTAGTTTTTAACTAAAAAATATCACGGTTGAAACATTTATGAAAGATCTGTATATTACTTTTACTAACAACAAATTCGCCAGATACTGAATTTAAGTATTTCTATGTAACAAAAGTCACAACCGCACCCTTACTTTAATGATCGGCCGCGGCAACCCCCTGTGACGTAACTCTTGTCGCGAAAGTGGTGACTCGAGAGAGCTGTCATATTTTGACATCCGCAGCGGACGTCGAGAAAAGAGAGAAAGGGTGCGAGAAAGAGACATGAATGGAATGAGAAGAAAAAGATTATTTTTCCGAGAGGGTTGAATCCGCAATACAGAAAATCACGAAGGAGAAACTAACAAGGAGAGAAAGCTCCCACCGCTTTTCTGACGAAATTACGTAATTTCTTCTTGTTGGCTCATTTCAGCCGCGACGACCATCTCTTCTTTGTTGATTTATTTAATAATTTGGGAAAAAGAATTATAATTGAACTGATGAATAAAAATATCCGTATATAATTTTTAAAAACATAATAACAAAAACATAATAAAAAAGTTTTATAACATGTATCATTAATATGTATCATTATCATTATTATTTCTTATGGCATACATTAAAAATGATTGAATATATTTTTTTAATTTACATGATTAATAAATATTTTTTTATCATTACCTATTCGATTAATTCAACAATCAATACAAAGATGAAAGCTTTCGATAATTAAAAATAAAAGTTAATAAAGAAGTTAACACAAAAGATAATAATTGTTACATTTTGAGTGGAAGAATAAAGAGACAAAATGTTTTTTATTTGCACAATTATGCAAACGCTTACCAGCATGAATGAAAATTAAATATAAATTACATAAGACAGATGAAACAGTCGCATGGAAATGAAAACGTCGCGTCAAAACGTTCTCGGGAGGTAGCCCGTGTACATCGCTTTTAACTCGAAGTTCCGACGGGGGCCGAGGTTTGAGTACCGAATTAGGCGTGCCGTCAAAAGTCGCTCGAGCGATTGTCATGATCGCGAGCGGTGCGTGGAAACGATAATAATCGACGGACAGCCCCTGGGGTGTGTTTTGATTTCAAACATCACGGTCGTCGGCTGCTGCTATCACACACACGCGCATAGAATATCTGCACAACTAGACGGGGCAAGGTAGATAGAGAAAGGCTCTATTTGGAGGCTGCAGGAAGGAAAAGAAGGCGAGATCAACCCCCTCGATTCCCCCCGACGTTCCAGTCGGGACGCAAATTGACGTCCGCAGACACGAACCCCGCTCGTCCAATGCCAAACGAGAGTGACGAGCGTTGCAAATCCACGACTCGCTTAACATTTCCATTGTGAGCGCCGTCCCCGGGGTTCGAGTGGCGGAAAGAACGGGGGGATGCTTTAGGGGAGAGAAATGTATCGAGCGCACGAAAACCTCGATGTTATCGAGGATTATAATAATTGCGAATTAATGTCGGTAATCGGAGGAGTTGACCGATCGACATCGCGTTAAGCATATAAAGTATTTAAATCCTTTATTGCTATACACAGAATTTACGCGTGCAATCAAGAAAAAAATTTTTTTATTGAATTATTAATGTATATAATTAAATTAATCAATATTTTGATTTTAAATATTTGTATAATTCAGATAATATGTTATTATTTAAAAAAAAAATCGAAACTTTTGGCAAAAAATTACTTTACTGATTATAATTTGAAATTTTTTCTTATGGCAATTAAATAAACTAAAAGACAAGTGTGATCCATTTCAATCAACTTGTAATCTGCTTCTTTCGAGAAAAGCAATGAAAAAGGAGATAAGAGACGCGTAACCAAGAAGTATGCAGCCTCCATCGGCGTCGACAAAACTTTTCTGAAGAGAGATGTGTGTGAAAGTTTAGTAGAAATCCAGTTTTATCTTTGTCTTAACATTTTTATTAAGAAATAACTGTTTTACTTTTCAGACAAAAAGAAAGAACGTTTAAAAAAAATTTATTTGAAATATTAAAAATAAATTGAATAATAAACTTTGAATCGCTACAAGTTTAAGTGTGCTAGAAAAATATTGTGAAATATTAAACAAATCATCAAAATTGGTTTATACTACAGTTTACTGCCAGTTTACGGCAACAGAATACATAAAAACACGAAAATGTAATATATAATATATCTTTTTGGTAGTTAAAATTATAATTTATTATCCAAGCGAAGACAGATAATTTTTCTCAATTAAAGAGATGTTGCAAGTGCAATTTATCGGCCCTCTCACTACGCCTATGACAATGTCGATACGAAGATGAACGATTTGATCGCGACAATGAATAATACTCGACGGGCGACGGTTAAACGCAGAAGCGGATCGGGCCCGCCTACGAAGAGGTGGAGGAGGCCCCGGACGCGCGGGCAAACCACCCGTAAAATCCGAAAGGGAACCGCCACGGCACGGAGAGGTACGGGGGCGGGGGGCCGCCCGGGTGACTCTGTGACGCGATTATGCTAACGAAGTTGTTCCATTGTAGTGCTGTTTACAGCGACGCGCGCATTAAGGCTACGGAACAATGGGGCGGCCGCGATGGAGAATCCTCGGAAATCGGGACGCGCCAGGATGAGAGAGTTAACTTGCTAACGAACGAGTTGACTTCATCTCAATCATCGTTTTGAGTGAGCGGAGATAAGTAGATTTATCTTTTCTTCTGCTGCACTGTTTAAAAAAAGTCACGAGATTTTACATTTTTTACGATTGTTTTAATTTCTTTAATTTCTCTTTCGTCTGTATTTATGTTCAAGAAGCGTAATCTTTTTACTTTTTCTTCATACATTTGATAAGTTTTAAATTTTAAATTTATATATTTTGGCGAATTATCCTTGCATAAATATTATTTAAAAAATAAACGACGATAATTTCTAGAAAACGTTGAATAACCTTTCCGAACATTGCATCTCAATTAAAATTAAAATTGTTATTTGCTTTTCTATATTCAACATAAATATCGTAACTATAGATTTTAGAGTTTAAAGACAACATTGGAATGCAACTAAAAATAAATATTGTTTTTTAAGAGAGATTGGAAAATATTAATTAAAATGGAAAATATTAAGATTCAATGATATGATATATCTTCTTACTGACGCATTTTAATGCGTTACAACGAATGTGCGCGTTCCTGCACGAATTCGCAAGATAAGAGAATTTTAACTGCATCAAAATTCTCAGCGGGATACGTAGATAGAGGTCCAAGAAATCGTCGAAATTCTACATGGTGTGAGAGGGGCCCCCCCGACTTCACCGCGTCTGGTTACCCCCTACCGAGGCGCCACTTGACTCGTATTTAACTTTCAAATATATTTTATGCCTTTTGCATTTCAATACTCTCGTGTATTCTCCGCAGAATTCATCGTTCTACCCCTCTCTACTCTCTCGGTCTTCTTGCTTAGATTCAATTGCACACGCGTTTATGCGTTTTGTATGTATACATTCATACTGTAACAAATATTAAATATAATAGAAATATCAATGCATTAGTATAAACAATATAATATTTAAAACAATGAAAAAGAAAATAATTCAAACGTTCAGTTTTTTGATAACATAAATATTTAATTAGAATAATATTTATATAATTGTAGTTTACATAATTATATAATTAAAATAATCAATAAATCTTTTTAAGCAACATATTATCATCATCATCAAAATAATATAAAGTTTTATATGTTACCTATTTAAACAATAAATTAGTTTACTTATTATATTTATACTATTTAAATATTTTAACAAATTATTACAAAGTTATATATGTTTATTGATATATATGCATATTTTTAATAAATCTCTAATAAAATATATAATAAAATATAATTATATTAAACAGTCATTCATAATTTAATTATTATTAATGCATGGCTTTAATATATCAATTAAATAGATCTATATATTTGTAAGAGAATGTTTAAAAAATATATATAAGAAATATTAACGTTATTAGAGAGAAATACAAGTAATGAAAGAATTACTGTAAACGAGTTAGGTTTTCCGGCAAGTGACAAGAAAAATAAAACTTTGTCGTCGCGACGATTCAACACGCAAGTGTAATTCATACTCGAATGAATTTGGCATTTATGTGTCCATCGAAGCGCGACGACGTTTCGACAGGATTATTTGTAGGATCTGGCTGCATCCTATGATTTTTCCAACGAATCCTTTGTGCTCGGATACGCTTTCAACGATCAAGCGAGGGTGTCGACAGCGTAATTTTACGACTTCCTAGTTTATATAAATCACCATTACCTGTTAAAGACTATTTCTTTATTTATACACAATATAACATGTACATAAATTAAAAATTTTTTAGTTTAATTAATTTAAAAACATAATTTGTTTTTAAAGAAAAAATAATTTTTTGACATGTATAAAATTATTTCAGTTTTTCAGTTTTAAATTTCTCCTAAAGAAAATTATAGAAATTTGTAATAATAAATTCACTTTTCTTAAAATTATATTGGAAGTTATAAAACTTATATATATATATATATATATTAACATTAAAAATTTTAAAAACTTTCTCATACTTTAAAACTCCCTATATATAAGTACTATTCTAATTAAAAGATACATTGAGATATGTCCTAACTTCGACATGAAAATTTCTCGACTTCCGGTTTGTAATTCCCTAACTAAATAGAATTTTAATTACGGAAGTGTCACACAGATCCCTCTGATCGTGTCATCCACTTATACCCTCGCTTATTCGACGACATAAGCACTGAGTGGGCGGATAACGATATTTTTCTTTTCGAAGGACAAATGGAACGTCGACTGATACGTGTGTGGCTGTCGGTAACTTCAAAGGACAACGCATTCGGATGCACCGAGCGGACCGAGATTGGACTGCTTCAAGGATAGACTTCTTACAAGATAATCTCCCTCTTTCTTATTTGACTTGTGTGCGACCTTCGTGTACAAGATGATACATAAATCTAAGAAGAAAGATTAGACAATATAAAAGGTAATTATTCACAAGTTATATAATATAAAGAATAAATATGATTAATCTTTTTTACAACAAAATCGAAGTTTTTTTAAATATTTTTTTATAAAATGTTTTATATTTAAAACATTTTTAAAATTTTTGTATATAATTATTTTTAATTTCTCTTAGATAAAAAAATATATGATATAATACATATAATAAAAATATATACATATTTCATATATATATTTCAGGAAGATTGTATCAAAAAAAAATATATACGTATATATATTTTAATATTATTCCTTATTACTACAGAGCCTTTTATATTACTTTTAATTTTAATATTATTATTATAATTATATCTTATATCTCATAATTTAATAATATACACTTTTTAAAAATAAATACCCAAACAGTTTTTCATGAAATGTCCTATACGCCCGCACACATGCTAGCCCGATGATACGTGGGAGCACGTGCGTGTACGCATATGTAGTAACACGTACGCTAAACTGCGGGGAACGGGAATGTATAGATGGCATTCTTCTAATTTGTCGGCGGTACTTTGTCGGCTAATCAATGGCCACCTGATTACCATGCGCCGCGGACAGTAACCACCGTAAGTGCTTGTCTCGATTGCTTTGCGCACATCTGAATGTTAACACATACGTATGTGGACCCTTTGTTTTTGAAATAAAAAATACCTTACGTTGTACATGACGTGCAATATAAAGTCGCTATCAAGTTCATATACCAAATAATAGTTCCAAATAATACTTCTGTAGATTTATAGATTTATAAAGTCATAGAGATGCGGATTTTTATATACATACATATATATAATGTATATATATATATATATTGCATATTTTCAGTTAACGTTCAGAAATGTTTTCTATTTTGAATCTTATCGCTAGTTTTCAATGTTGGATTTAGCAAAAATTTGTTTGTTTTTTTACTTTGCGTAAAATCATCTTATTACAAGTTTAAAAATTTTTGTAGTTATAATTTTGAATTCATAAATATATATATATATATATATATATATGTGTGTGTGTGTTATGAATTCAAAAGTATAACTACAAAAATTTTTAAATTTGTAATAAGATGATTTTACACAAAGTGGCCTGTGTCTAAGCAATTTTTGTTGAATCCAACATTGAAACTAGCGATAAGATTCAAAATAGAAAACATTTCTGACCATTAACTGAAAATGTTGCATATTTTCAATACTTAGATGAGTACAATGATTCTAATAGTTTAATTTATTGATATTGGCCCAATATATCTCCAACAATTTAATCAATGTCTCGCCAATAAATTGTGCTATTCGAAGCAGATTGGCAGATTTAACTATCCATGTAACTACCTACAAACAGCAAATAAACCATATTAAGCACTAACTCCGTTAACGCTAAATATTCATATATAGAAAGTTTGATTCGTATTCCCAATGTGCTGAATATTTCGGAACAATTTTTTACCGATATTTGAATATCCCTTTTATATTTGATAAATATTTCAAAATATTCCATGGTATAAGAAATATAAGGTATTCCATTGGGCATAATGGCGGCAGATTAAATAGAACAATTAATCAAATGTTCGTGCTTCAAAGTTAATGCAATCATGATCTTTTTTACAATTTAGGGCAACGTTCTTGATTGGTCAAAGATCAGTTGCCACGTTCAAGATGACTGCATATCATCTGAAATAAAATACCTTATATTATACCATAAGATATTCCGGAATACTCTTGGAATGTTTTTTTTTAAAGTTTAGGAATATATATAAGTCAAAGTTTTTATAAGTTGTATAATTATTATATAGATTTAAAGACCGTTCATAGACACATAAGAATTTTATTAATTTTTATTTATTTTTATTCGGTAATTGAATGAGATGATATTTGCGAGCAGATTAGCAAAGAAAGAAAAGAACGAATGAAAAAAACGGAACTTGAAAGTTTTATAAAGTGCCGCCTAGGCCTCTATCGTTCTAAACGCTTCAACGCTGAGCTCCGCCTGCAGCGTGTTGGACGTGTTAATCATCTTATTCTCCCAATACGATAAAACGACCAGCGACAAAGAGCGACGTCTTTAAATCACCAGAGGCGGTCTCGTGGCTGAAACGCTAAACGGCGTATGCCTAAATCAAGTTAATCGTAAGGGGCGCGACTAAACGGGATGCTATATTGAGACATGCACCGTGCAAAGAAGCACCAACATCCTCGACATGAAATGGGACTCGCTTGCAATTACGCGTGAAATGAACGCGGCGATGCATGCGGTCGTACGTGCGTGCGTGCGTGCGTGCGTGCGTGCGTGCGTACGTGCGTGCGTACGTGTACAAACACGCGTTCTTTCTCACAAAAACACCCGCAGATGTCCAAATGCTCGAAAACAGCTTAATTCGTCGCTTTGTCTCCATGGTGTAACAATAAATTCTGATGATTTTGATTATTTAGAGGGGCAAACTATCGAAATAACAATTTCAGCTTCGACACGCATGAATTGCATAGACGCGCAAAATACAGCTATTCGTGCGTATACGCAGGCAAATGTCAGGTCCCTTCACTCTTTGCACCCCTCACTGATGGCCCCGATGGTTAATCCATTACCGGGGACGCGCGACGATGCCGAGCCGGCTCTCGGTTTCCGCGACGCCCACTAATTTGCTAACCATCGATTTCGACCAGCACGCATACCCGCACCTACCGCCGCCAATCGCGAAACCCGGCCCCTCTCTCGTTTCGCGTTGCTATGTTTAGAAACGCACGCGCGGAACACTCTTTGGCGCTTAATAATAATCGGTTAACCATCGCCGTTTTATGCTGCCGAATGATGGATGCATGCTCGGTAGAACCGGTTCACGGAAAACTACCATCACGGCTTTCGGAGAAGTATTTTCTCATAAAATATACTCATATAAAATGTACCCATATAAAATTAATATATAATTATCATCGGATCATTTCTGTAAATATATCTATATACCCACAAAATTCCAAAAACACTTTACTCAAAAATCGAGGTATTATAGGATCGTTCATAGGATGTAAACGTTCTCTAGATGTCTTTACAACGTACCTTGGAGGTTTGTGCTGCATGAGTATTAATTAGAGATTATGGTTTTAAACGTGTATTGGAGATTTACACAAATATATTTATGCCATTTATTTTTAAATGTACTTAAATATGCTGATAATTGAAAACTTTAATTTTTCCAGAAATTGCAGGTCCGGTTATTCCTGAATCATTTTTTAAAATGTACTATAAAGAAGTACATTTCTTGTACTTTTACCTTGAAGTCCAATTTTGCAGCTCACTTCACAAGTGAAATAATAAGCTCCTATTCTCTCCCAAGTGATTTTTAAGCTAAAATGTTTTATCTTTTTTACCTTCTAAATTTAAGAGTTCGCAAAAATTTACTTTGACTTCACTCAAATATATATATATATATTTTAACAATGTCGCGATTTCAAAAGAAGAAAGTCAGCAGAAATGTGGAAGAGTACGAAGACTGATTTCGGCAAAGGGATAAGTGAAAGATGCATGCATAGGACAAATCGGCCGTCAGATACGATTGGCGAGAGAGAAAAAAGCGAAGAGCACTCTCAAAAGAGTGTACTCATACATCGTCCATCTCCTCTTCTTTCTCGGTCCACGTAACTAACGGCAGGCAATTAAAACTCGGCCTGCCGCAAGCATTTAAGCGTCGACATTTCCGTTCACACGTGCGTAACGAGTCGAGCGGGACGCGCATCGACGCCTCCACCGCGCAAAAAGACATCGACGACGACGCCAACCGCGTCGCGTCGCTCCGCTTCGCGAAGCGAGCAGCGAGGCGAGATTTAAGGCCGTCTGAGCATTCACGGTCGGAACTCTCGTGTTCTGTGTTCTGTGCGACCAGCAGCCACGCACATGGCGAACTCGTAGAACTCGATGGGTTGAACGTTTTTCTTCATTCATGATATATGACACTCGCACAATGTAGCGAGGATATTTTATTTTATCGCTACCGAATATGACAGAAATTGTACTTGGCTCGGATTTAACGAAACGATCCCGAAACTTTGGAAAGTCACAATGCGAAGGGATTACTTAGAAGCGAATTTCTCGCCATAAATAAAACTGTTATATTTTAATTTTAATTTGAAGAAAAAATAATCACGATTACATAATGCAAGTGAAATTGAAATTTCCTTCAATTAAAAACGATCGTCAGTTCTCGGAATTTCCTGTAAGATTTGTTCACATATATTTTAAAGCAACTTATGAATATTTATTCTTCATCAAAGAATTGAATAAAATTACTCTTTACTTTCTTGAGCGCCGATCTGACGCATGCCTCGCATTTTCGACATGGTCTGCTCCAATTTGTCAGTGACTACTTGTAGGGTGAAATTTGTCTGGCCGATTGCCACTCCTTGTATACTGCAGTTGGAATTTATAGTCATTGGTTCTTTCCCGGGTACGACGTGTCGGACAAAGTGCGATTAAATTCAATATCCATATTACATAAAAATATGAAGGAATAGTATTGAATTGTAATTATATTGAAAGTTGTTCTTACAATTAGAATTCTCCAAAATCTCATCCGTAACATTTATCTATTTTGTCGTGATCAGTTCTTAGAAAGATCTTGTCAAATTTGTTATTTCAAATGAGAAGCTTTTCTCCAGACTTAACAGAGGAAGTCAACTGCCGGAGCAAACCGCGTTTAAATACCTTTCATCACCGGAGAGCAATATCTCTACCTTTCTTCCTGTGCCTTTGTGCCTCTTCTCTCTAATTTTACAAGGCGTTAAGTGTCACTTTGTACTCGATTCTTCAGCTCTACCGATACTTATTTCCGCCTTTCTGTCGCGCAAATAAGTACAAGCGTTTGCTATAAACTTCTCTGAAGGCAGCTCATAAAACTACATCCGTTGTGTTCAAACTCATAAAAGAGAATTAATAATTAACTAAGGAACTATTATTAGTTTATTATCAAAAATTGTTATAGAATTGTATAATCTCTCTAGAGCTTAATTAGAGAAATTGTCAATATTAATAATAATGATAACAAAGTGTAATAATTAATGCAATATATTTAATCATATCATGTATCATATTTATGATCAGTATTTATTAAAGCAAAAATAAATTGTACAGCTAATGACAAAAATGTAGATTAAGTCAAAGGATACAAAAATATTTGTTTGTCTCTTTTATTTGTTTACTATCTTATCTACAATGTAATACTAGGGTGGCAATATAATTAGAAATATATTAAATCTGACAATACTGTATATGATCATTCATCATAATGCATAAATACTGGAGTAAATATAATTCGTAATTAAATTTAAAGGTATTTTCCATTAATTGGAATACACTAAGCCTGGCTAGAAACCCTATATAACACTGTACTAATTAGTAATAATAATAATAATAATAATAATTATTATTATTATTATTATTATTATAAAACAAACATTGATTATGCATACAATTAAGATACACACATAAAGATGTTAAATAGGTGTATTATAGATTGAAGCATTGATATAGTATTTGTAAGGAGCAAGTGATGTATATTGTGTAATTTTGAGATCTAATTAAAGTGACGGCATGCTAACGAGTATCGAAATAGTATCGTTACTGTAGTGATGCATCGATTAGCCGGTTCGGAGCCATCTATGATGTAAACGATGCGTGGGTGTAATCCATCCTAAAATTCAACGTGCACGAGACGCGCGTGAAATAACGTGTAACGTTTCTAATGACGTTGACGTATATTAATTTATAATTTAGTAACTAAATTTTCTTAGAAAATTAGTTTTTGCGCTACAATATTCTATTTTTACATCAAAATATAATCAAAGAAAATATAATTGTAAAAAAAAATTAAATTAGTATTATGATATTATAACATAATTAAATTATTTTATATAGAAATGCTAATGTATTGAAAATTCATTATCTAAATTCTGAATGATATTTTTTAGATTTAAAGGATACCTTGTTTTTTTGCTGAAATAATTAATTCTGGAAAATAAAACTCTTAAAATGTTTTTCTTCTGTAATATTAAGGCACAACAGAAGAAATCAATAATTATTACGCAGCCAAAAAAGTTTGGCAATTAGATGACAAATGACAAACAACATACTAAGAATAAGTACGTGTCAATATCCTCACCGATGGATGAAATAAGACAACAGCTTTGATAAGTGTGCTCGTTAGGAAGCACCCTGCGGGGGTGGCATGAAGGATAACTTAATGGGGAACACGTTGAGGATACAAAATAGACTGCGGCAGAAAGCAAGCTCGTTAACGTCGATCGCTTCATGTTTCAGAAACAGCGTAATTGGTCAATTACCTGTCAAAACTTCCTTGGGTCTTAAAGATTACTCATTAGTTCTTCATAATCTCAATGTATGAGATTTGTGGAATTTTTTTATTTATTACAATATAGTAAAACAGTATAATATGCGTATTATATAAAGCACGTAATTATTGTGTTTAGTAATGGCAATAATTAAATGTCTCTTAATGGGTTATTGGTAGAAAACAATTCATTGATCCAAGAGAAAAACAATTTTATGAATATATTAAGTATTGTATAAAATTAAACTGTTACTACGTCGATTATAAGAAATTATCGAAGAATAACTTATGTTAATACGCAATTATTTTTATTGTAAATTTCTATGTATATGTAATTGTAGTCTTACTTTTAGAGAATGGACTGTCAAAAATTTTTCACTTTCAAAATTACTTGAGAGGAATTCTCGACAGTTTCTGAAAGTTACTCCCAATAGCTTCGTCATTCATCTTTTAAGCACCTTATTTAGTTAATTGCATTATCACGCTGTCTAAACAAGATGATATTTAAAAATAGATCTTATACCATGATCGTTCTGAACTGTCCACCGTTTTCAATCTCAAAGCATCCGAATGCAAGTACTTTGGATTAAAACCTGGCACCAAGATGGTGGATCTGCGGACGATAGGCGCGGCCGGACGATGCTGTTGGTCCGAATGCGACCAATCAGGATCGGACAAAAGTCGGTACGACGATGCCACGCCATCCACCACATCGGAACACGGCGCATGCCGAGGAATCACGAATTAAAATACCTTGCTCTATACCCTCGGCAGTCGCCCGTCGACCCGTGCGTCATACGGTTGCCTCCCGATACCTTTATAGTGTGCAGTGTATAGTCCGGTGATTGCCGTCATCGTCATCAACGTGGTGTAAAAATGTTCATAATTGAAGTTATCAAGTTGATGAAAAAGAAAAACTTTTGGTGGACATAAACAATTCCAAAAGTTCTCATCGAGTGTGATTACAAATTTATATTTATTTTCTGCAAACGCTCTTAATGACTGGAACTTGCCGGATTCTCTGCATGATTATTCTCTGCATTGATCTTTATGTCATAATCAATGATGATACAACGTTCAGCATGAGAATTTAACAAGTGCCCGAAGGAGTTTCATATTACATTATTGCCCCAGACATATTTAATTATTTATGACTGTGTCAGCTTTATTTAACGCCGTCATAATACGTGGAAGAAGCTCACATATTTCAATGATCAAATACAATTTTTCACATGACACAGATCTTATCTATTCCCTGACATCATAATTTTAACGGATCTGTGCTATAATTATAATAACTAGTAATTTTTCTGTAAATCAAGAAATTCAACAAAGAATTAATAGTAACAAAGTATAATAATAATAATCTAAACTAAGCTTTCTTAAATTTGTTCGATCTTATTTAAAAAATTGTAACCAGTGCCAAAGTACTGATTTATGTGTCAAATGCAGGTTTGCATATTGGAAACTATAGTGACTCCTAGTACTATGAAGTTATCGTGAAATATAAAAGAATTACCTTAAACGCGCTGACTGCCATACCGAATTAAAAGACTAAAATTTAATAGTGTGATAATAGATTAATAATAATTTTTACGTATTATATTATGTAAAGGAAGAAATCGAATAAAGATAATTGCTAAACAGATAGCAACGATTATTTAAAGTATTAAAGCTCATTATAAAATGTGCCATAACTATTGTAATGCAAAACATAATACTACGCCAAGTGAAATAAAGCAAAGTACTATAAAACAATCGTTAATAAATATAAAGCACCTTAACACCGATTGACAACCTTAAACTAATGTTGTAATTTGATTCAACGTTGACAATTTGAATAAAGACACGCTGACACTTCTTATTTTTATCTAATACACAACAACAATTGAATTGGCAATTTACCTTCTTTAAGTACTGCCGCAATAAGAAATTCTGTAAAAGACAAAGACACAGCATATTAATTCTTAATTTAACAACACTTCGGACTGCACGAGAGACGGCAATTATTGTACATGAAAAAGAAAGATGTTCGACACATAGTATCGGATTGAGATCGATCCCGTTCGATTTTGGACGCTGGTCCATCAAGTTCAAGGAATCATGGACATGAGCGTAGAGGAAACTGAGCTCGACGTCGGCTCGGCGAGCGACGAGTTGGAGTCGTCGGCCGCGGAGCCAAAGCTCGCGCGACGTCCGACACCGCGACCCTTCACGATCGAGAGTTTGATCGGTAACGCGCGTGAAGATCACGATACCGGCGGTGGCGGTGGCATAATGCGAGACGATCGGACAAACGAAGAGGAAGAGCACCGAGACCGGGAATACCAGCTTTATCAGAGGCACTACCTGGCGACCGCGGCGGCGAGCACGCTACCCTCAGGTGAGAACGTTCTTCCAGCTCGATATACAATTGAGTAAGCGACACTAATAAAAGTAGTAAATTAAAAATAGTCTTCGAAAAAACTGTATGTTCTCTTTATTTAAAATTTCATTCTCTCCAAAACATTTTTGAATTTTGGTCAGAATCTTATGCTTTTGATTAATTCAGAATTTTTAGCGGCGAAACACGTTTTCATTATAAATGTATTATAAATATATTATCAAAATTATATATAAAGGCGTAAAAGCAGCGTGCTGCTGGGGGGGGGGGGAGAGGGAATTTTTATATGAACGCCAGATTTTAAAAATAAAATATTTTTTATTTTCATGCTGTGTTTCATTGCCAGTGCTGAAAATTTATAATTACACGTAACGTTGACAGTGAATTTTGTAACACAGTCTATGAATTACGTGAAGCATTTTAATTATTACCTTTTAAGAAATTAAAAATTTATATAACTATGTTAAATTATTTTATAATTTTGGATGAGAAAGATGCGGATGTAAGTAAAAACTTAGCGTCGCGACGCGACGGCAGCTTAAAATACGATGGCTACAAATACATAAAAATGTCGCCAATCGATAACTGCAGCGAACAGACCGCGTTACATCTACACGTCTGCCGTATTTCTAGTATCTGAAGTTCATTCAGCGTTTTCTCTAATCTAGAGACATGTGAAGTTAATAAAAAATATAAAATTACGACAAATGTATTACTACAAATACACTCATCGACAAAATTATCGCAACATAAATTTATACCAAAATTTTGCATAATTTCAAGTAAGCGTAAATAATTCATAAAAAATGGTCATATTTGAAAATAAAGTTCATTGCGAAGATACGGCGTATTTTCTAATATAAAGTTACTCATGCATTTTTGTTCAATTACTTCCAACTTTGGCATTAACCAATGCCCACCAAGAAGAAGTTGCTACTCAGATTTTGCACATTATATACGTACGTGCGTATGTATGTGTGGGTGTGCATGTATGTGATGCAACCTCTGATGCAGGCTCTTGTGGCCTAATTTTTATCATTCGATCCAAACTATGCAATTTTTGGAGACATAATACGTCTTTACTTTAGAAAAGGTAATGAACGGAAGTAAGGAATTAAAAATTTGAAAGCTTCTAAAAGTACAAATTTTATCCTTGAGAATGAAAAAAAACTTTTAAATATAACCATTTTTCTCATAGAATGTGCTTATTTGAAGTTATGCAAAATTTTAATATAAATTTATGTTGCGATAACTTTGTTAACAAGTGTATTATAAAAAATAATTTATATAAAATAAGCAAATGATTTTTTTATTGAAATAATTCTTTGAAATAAATCGTGAAGTTCTTCATAAAATTAAAGTTTTTATTAATTTATAAAGCTATTATTTAAACAACACTTTCACATCGTTACTTAATCCTTCACATGCAAATTTCCGATTGATTGACTATAAATAAAAAATAAACTTTTCGAATTTTTAAATTTAACATTTGCTTATATTAAATTCATAACTATTTTAAGACTCTCACTTAATGAAAAAAATTCCCCTTATTTAACATACAATTGTTAGAAATTAAATGATATTTTTATTAAATTAGATTAAAGAACGATCCCATACAACTTAGTTTTCCAAGGAACATCCTTACGATATTTCTAATCTTGTAATTTCTCTCTTTATATCTGCACGTGTGCTCTTATTTCGCATTAAATAATTTCGTGAATATCATCTTCCGTCGGGAGAATTATGGCGCGCATTAATCCGACGGCTCATTGATAACTGACTCTATAATACTGACTGTGTCAGTACATAAAAAAATGTGGGGTAATTACATTAAAACAGGTTACAGTATTACATGTATGAATCCAATGAAATAATGAATATGTTAAAAATTACATTTATTTGACATAACACTGGATATATAAAGTTGTCTATTATGCTCCTAATATGAGTTAGCGAGGTTTCTGCTAAATTATGAGTATGAATAAGTATGTGGATTCTATCATGAACTTATTATTCTTAGTGTGAAATATATTTAGTAGAAAATTCATTATTAGATCATATATGTAGTTGTTGCAAAAAAGCAATGATGCTGCGTATATAGATGATAATAACGATGATACAATTTATATATTTTGTAATGGTTTGTATTTAAATTTTTAATTAATAGTGAAAATTAAAAATTTAGCCGAGGCTATTGACTCTAGCTCCATATTGATTGTGCTTAGATCGACCATCGGTCGAAAACTTATTTACTTATGCATGTAGAAAATATTTCAGTATAATATACTTCAATATAAAATATTTATAAAGACTAATACTTTAAAATAATACTTTAATATTATTTATAAAGATTTATATTTATTCAAAAATAAACCCAAATAGCACACAGCAGTTATAAAGAATTAACAAAGCGCTAAAAAAGCGCATATAATCGTTTTGCTAGCGCTGCTATGCTACTTGGGAATGCTTTTTTTATCTTAATTAACATTGTTAACTTTATTAACATTTTTATATACAATATATATGCGATATTTTTTTTATATTATGTATTCTTGAGAGAAAACACAAAAGTATGCATTTTTACCTTCTTAGAAAAATAATCTTCTGTAAAAATGAGTGTTACTTAACAAACTTTTAATTTAAATTATAAGAAATAACTTAAGTAGCATTTTACTGACTCGACTGTGATTAATTAATTCTTACGGTTACATCTTACAATTATTGTTACGGACTTCCTTATGTAAGAAAACTATGCGTCTCATATATTAGGAATGCCTTTTTTAAAATTAACAAAATTGGCAATTTTGATAAAAACTATCATATAAAATAAAGTATAATTGAAATATAACTGCGTATATAGAGGATTGCTGTAAGATATTATAACACGATTATTGTGAAATATTATTCTACCGAGTCAAAGGCGCTGTAGTATCTAATCAATGTTCCAAAACATGAAAAGATACCAGGTGCTGGTGACGTTTCGCAGACTATAATTTGTGATCTCGGATATGTACATAATTCAAACCTTCGTTTGAACTATGTACATACTTATCGAACTTATCGTTTTTTTTTATGTGTCTTATAATCATTTTACGTAGTATAATGCTGTAAAATACAGTTAGTTTCAAGTTTTGTCATTACACGTTAATTTGTAGCTGTAATGTTGCAATTGACGCGTTCCCAGATTTCAACACAAGTGAAAATTGAGTTATAAATTTAGTAAAGAAGAATAAACATACGCTTGTAGCTTATATAAAATTAGAATTTAAATAATAAGAAGAAAATTATAATATATTGAACAATGAACGAGAATGAATTAATATCGAGAACACATGCGTTTAAAAAATGGCAAGTAGATGCAAAAATAAATGTTTAGCTATAAAGAAACACTGCATAGAACGACTGAATAAATAGAAATGTAAAATTCAATTTGCCTTACGATTCCATTCGCTTATCAATTATTATTACTTTATTACAGTTAGATACTATTGATAACGGACGGATTTCTCATTAATTAGATTGTTTACAAAAATAGGAAAATATTTTTAAAACCTACTGCAATTTATATTTCATATTCTTCTAATCTGAAAAATATACCTTCTATTATTTAAAAAAAAATTAAAATAATGAAATATGTGTATATGCTTACAAAAATTATTTGAAAAATTTATAGATCATTTTAAATTCAAAAGTACATTTTCGACTTTATTCAATATAGTCAAATTCAATTTATCTCAAATATTTATGATTACGTATTAATCATTACTAAATTAAAATAATTAAATCAGTATTAAGATGTATATTTTAAAATTAAAAATAATGTGATATACATTATATCTAAAAGCAATGTGTGTGTGTGTATCAAAATCTAGGTCGATTGTTTTTACATAATTTTGTGACATAACCCTGAAATTTCATCATTATCTAATTAATTGTCTATATTTGTCGATTGTTAATTCATCAATTAGAGGAAATGCCTCTATTATGAGATACCGAGTTCATTTTGGGTAAATGGTAGAAGTCTATAGAATTTAAAAAAATAATAGGTCATTTTGAAGGGAATTTAATAAGTTTTAAGATAACGTTATATAAAATTTAATTCAAATTCCATTTTTTTTTAATTAAAGAAATGTAAAAAGTGAGCAAATCGCAAAGTCAAAAAATTATGCTTCTAATATGAAATGTCCCAAGAAATCGATAATAAAACGCAAAGTATATCAGTATTGCAATTAAAAAAAACTTTATTTAATGTTTCTAAAATACAAACAAACAGCCAGCGTGCGCAAAAAGTGAGCATGCAATAGATTGTACTCAGAACTCATGTTCAGGATAAATGGAATCAAGCATCGCACTCAGAAATAGACGCTCGGCGGTTATGCCGGTTGTTTTTTTTATTATTACAATAACATTTATACTTTAGCAACGATTTTCACTATAACAGGAGTATATATTATTTCACATTAGAAATACTCATTACGATTTCCACACCTTATAGTTTTACGATCATCAAATCTAACTTTTGTAATCAAATAATTCAACATATCCCGTATCTTTCTATTAGTACCTTACTTTATCACTACATGAAGAATTTATTGCCAAATTTTTATTTATTAAATAATAAACAAGGTTTAAAGGCTCATCTCAATGAAACTTGAAGACATCCAAATTCTAAAATCTTGTTTTACAATGATTACTGCCATGATCTAATAATGAATTTTCTACTAAATAGTTTTCAATCCAAGAGCAATAAATTTATGATGGAACCAATAGATTGCGTTTATTAGTTTAGCAGAAACGCCGCTATCTCATATTAGGCGCCTATCTCATAATAGGGGGCTTTCCTTTATAAATTGTCCGTGCAGGTTTCGGCGTGCCACTCGGATTATACAGTGCTTGGCTACCAATGCGGATGTACGGTGGCAGCGGTGCATCCGGCGTCCCGATGTTGCCGCCACAGCATCCGTCCACCGGCTACCCAGCTCACCCGGAACTGCATCAGAATCGACTGTCGCAGCCCTCCATACCGCCATCCAGTCATCCGCAGGGATATTATGCACTGGATGGTTGCCGTCGTGTCACGAATCAGCGTGCACCGAGTAGCTTCACCGACAGCGAAGACGAGGACGGCAGCGTCGGTTCGCCGGCATCACCGGCTCACGATCTTTCTAAATCCCGACACGGTGAGTTTAATATCTACTTATACATTCTTTAAGGCAATATTTTAAAAACTGTATAATCACAAAAAAATGAAAAATTTCTGAAGAAACTTTCCTACAAACCAACTATACATAGAAAAAGTAATTTTTACTGAAGTATCTAAAAATTTAGTTAAATATTAAACTATTAAAATAATTATATAAGTCCAAACATGATGATAATGCTGCCAAAAGTTGACATTTTAGCGACTAGTTTGAACGTCTAACATAATTATTTTTATAGTCTAACAAAATTATTTTTTAATCAACATTTATAGTTAAATTTTTAGACATTTCAATAAAATTATTCTTTCTGTTCTTTGATTTCTTGGAGATAATTACGCGCAGGAGAAATAAATAATTTTTTTACGGATTATCACAGTGTTGTCAGGATTAACTTGCACATGGTTTTCTTTTAATAAAAAAATTAATTTGCATATTCAATCTTTTTTAAAATAATCATCTAAATATATAATTAATGTACAATTTAAAAAATTTAGAAGTTAAACAAAATATTATTGAAAAGATGTATTATATCATTATCTTTAAAAATTAAATTTAAAAGTGTGAAAAATATATGTATGTGTATGTGTATGGGAAATAATGGATGTTTATAATATATAATATTTACTTTTCACAAATTAGTGAGATGACTATTGTATATCAAAAATGCTTATATAAATGCTTTTAAAAAAATGCTTTTTATTTTCTGAAAGCAATTTGAATATTTTATCTTGAGTGATATTTGAAATTTTGAGAGTTTGATTCTTTGAGAGATATTTAAATAAAAACAAAAATTGATCAATAAATAGATTCTTTAATTTTAATTTGATTTGTAATTTCCGCGATCTTACTTGATTGCTAATGCATAATAAATAAATTCATCCTGTGCTTGTGGCAATATATTAGGTGTTGGAATTAATTCGTAGCGTTTTTTAATGAAAGAATGTTATTTATTTCACATGAGCATTAAAAAATACATTAATGAAAGTACTTCCCATCACTTGTAAAACGCTACGAATTAATTCCAACACCTAATACATCTTCACAGCTTTAGATATTTTATGAAGAAATTATTAAGCTACACACATAATAAGATTATACAATAATTAACATTGAGTCATGCAAAAATAGATGTTGCTAAATCAGTAGTCTTTAAAGTAGTCTTTAAAGAGATATGATCCAATCGCTAAGAGGGAGAAATCGGTAGATCCGAATACCGAACGTTTACGAATTCAGATAGCGTGTCTTTGGTCACGATCGCCGTCGCTACGATCGACCGCAAAGGATCGAGATACACGGTAGCATGCATAAATTATCGCGCTCCTGTGGCCTGATCTCATCTTGTATGTGTATAGGTACGTATAAATGAACAATACGCGTGGTATCTCAGAGTACATATATTCTAGCCGAATTTCTAATGTGTTAAGAAAACAACTCTGTCTTTGTATATTCAATTATCCATTATAGACAATCCAATATTCATAATTCATATTTTATTCTTATTTTAAGACCGAGTAATATCTTGATAAATGTCTAAAACTCTAATACTATTCTATTATTGGTTTGTGATATTTTAAGATTGCACTTAAGATAGTCTTAAATATCAAGACAAACTATGAATTATACCAATTATAATTTTATTTTGTCACAATTTTCTTTATTCATGTTCAGTAAACTAAAAATAATGCCACAGGTTAGGATAGTGAAATAGAAAATGTACTTTTGATAGATTAACGTAAGACGGAAGGATACGTAAGTGATAATAAAATAAAATAATTAAGGTGCACACAGCTTTTATTTTGAAATAGTGATACTCTCAAAAGAGGCAAGAAATTTAGTTTTTTCAAAGACTGACGGTATTTCACGGAAGACTCTAAATGCGTCGCCGTTTGACCGCCGAAAGCTAAAGGATATCTACATGACCGCCGATCGCCAATCACGTATTTCCGTGGGGACAATTCCGATGGTGTACAGACGCGCGCATTTATTCGTGGCCGGACACACTTTTTATTGATGTACCGCCGCCCGGCGGCGATTTCGTATGCGAGACGAAATGGCTTCGGGGAATCTGTCATCGGTCATTTATGACGCACCGTGCCGAACCGGTGCGTCGATCGTCACGACGTGATGAGGCGCGATCGCGACGTTCCACGAATTCGTCGCGATCCACCTACGTGCGAGCATTACGTTCTCGCGTAACACATAGAGTGCCGATCCTGATCTTGTCGATAAAAATCAGAGAAATGAAAAAAGATTCAACAAAAGGATTTGAAGATATACAGTCTAAAATGTCGATTTGACTTTGATTTGATTTACACTTCAACGATGCCGAAAGCGAGTCACGAATTTACAGAATCTCGAGTCTAAAGTTGAGCAGTTAACGTAGATGCAAAAATTGTATGCGCCAAAAATATAAATTTCTCCAATTTCTAATTCTTCCTTAAAAATAGAAATCTTCAAGATCTCTTAGAATTAATAAAGTATAAATTGTCAAATTTAATTATATTAAGACACAGAAAGTGCTAAAACATCTGCTTAGATACAGATCTAAAAATAATTTTGTTGGATTATGAAAATAATTACATAAAACGTGATGACAATATTGCAAAAGTTTTAGCATTTTAGCAACCAAGTTTAGCAACCTACATAATTATTTTGATGGTCCAACAAAATTATTTTCAGATGTACCTAGCTAAATTTTTAGATACTCCAGCAAAATCGTTCTTTTCAAAAATCATAAATTCTAATATAAAAATTTTTGAATTTTGTTTTAAACAATAAATAATGGAAGTATTTTTAAAATGAAGAAGTAAATTATGCAAAATTAAATACTGTAGTTTGAAAAATGAAGTTCTGGAGCACCCAAGAATTTTAACATTTTAATGAATTATATTATGTATTATATATTTAATCGCATTCAAATTTCGAAATACAAAGCACATCACCAATTTATCTTTCTTAAATGTGTTTATAATAATTTGGAACTAACTATGTATAATTTATAATTGCAATATTTGATAAAATAATTACTTAACTCAAAATAATCGCAAATCGATGTTAAACTGTTAGATGATTTGTTGTAGATAATCGACGTATATAAGAAACTAAATAACAGAATTAAATCTTATTTAACGCAATCAACTACACATGGCGCTATTTTTGAATGAGATCGGTTTTATTCTTGATCACCGTTGAATTTTTATACAAGCACGAACAAGCAGTTATTTTAATGCGATCGTCGATCGAGACGATGCGTCATAAATACACAACGCCGTAGCTTAGATCTTATCGATTACTGAAGCTATTATCCAATGACGAAAAGTTAAAAATAATTTTTCCTTTTGCAATGTCTGGAATCTTCGAAATTTTCGATTATATAATTTTTGCAACTAAAGACTAAAAAGATTTTATATTAAATTCTTTTATTTACACAAATAATATGTTAGAAAGTAATGTATTTTATATAAATAGTTTTGTATTCCTTTTAATGCAATTACATAATATATTTTTAAATATATTAAAATTTAAGTTACATAATTAAAAAACATTTATTCTTTTTTTAATAAAGAAGATATACTCGTATTTCACAAATCTGTATGTGCAGATAAATAATTTATTTAGAAAGTAGATTAAACTTTTAAGATACATACTTAATTCTTAGAATCAGAAATGAGCCATTTTACACTTTATTACGGAGAAGAACGAAAATATCAAATCCACGAACATCGTATAGATATATTGAAGATTGAATTAGTAGCAGATAAGTACTTTGAAACGAGAACGAGTCTCGCGATATTCAACAGCGAATTATTAATCAATGGCCCAGATGTGACACGACAGAAAGTGTGTTAACGGCGTTTTCATCATGAGAACACGTAACCTGGCTGCATGAATTGGATATGTGGAAGTCTCGAACGAAGCTTTTGAGTACCTATGCAAAATTCAGAGTTCCATTCACGGCGACGCAGAACGATTCGATTCGCCGTCGCTTCAGATAATCAAATGATCGTTCATAAAAATCTTGTTTCATTTCGAAATCGAATAACGAGTTCACCAATAGATAAAATAATACTTTGAAACGATGAATTAAATTGTGTCACACGACAGCTAATTGTAAATGACATTTACGGCAAACAAAATAAAATTATTTTTATATATCATTTACAAAAATAAAATATTTTTAACATTAACTAGCAATCTATCTATTACTTTTTATTTCTGTGTAGTTGCGAAATTATATAGTCGTTGTTATATGCGATTCTAATATTCTGATAATTTTTGACTTTGTTTTAATTTATTATAACAGAGGCTGTTGTAATAAATTAAAATTAACTTCTGTGATTTATCTAAAAAGATTCACAATTTAATTACATTAAATGAAATTAAAACTAATGCGTGAATAGTCATAATTTATTTCAAAATTTTCATGTAATACACGAAATATAATATTTTAATATTATTTCATTGACAGAAATAACTTTGCATTATTAATTTCTACCTACAGCACAAATGAACAAATTATGTGGTAATTAGTGTAATCGTTTATTTCCGCACTGTATTCGAATCTAATTCGATGATGTTCAAAAGGCATACAGGAAGATAATCATCGAATGCCACTTGAATTTTAATCGCACTCACCGATTCTACGGCGGGAAGCCGATTAACGTATCACGCGTCAGACGAGCGGAAGGATCATATTTCGATTTGGCGTACGAGACGAAAGGATCTTTTAGAGCGCGTCATTCGTCATTCATAGCCATCAGGACGACGACCGAGTTGAAGGCGATTATATGAAGGACGGGGCTCATCGAGTAACGTGTAATAAAATGATTGTCGCATCGCTGTGAATGGAAACCATCAATTCTCCAGAACCGCTACGACGCCGACGTTGAATAATGTGCCAGTTCTGCAGAATTAACGATACCGGTATATAACCTGTGCCTATAACTGCCTAGATAATATAGCAATTATATTACAACATA